TTAGTTTTGAGAGACAGGAGCTCCTACTGTAGACCAGGCCGACTTTGAACTCACAACTCACAGAGATTCTGTTGCCTTTGTCTTCCCTGGGATGAAAGATGAGCCTCACCTTTATTCCCAGAGAGATAAAGAACAATGTGTGTAGGATTAGCAGATATTTTTGTGAATCTCAACACTACTCCTCATGTCCAAGGTGGTGCCCTGCAAGACAAGGCTTTTGATTTTTCACTCATACACTTGCTCCTATATAAGTCTTATCTTTATTCATATCTGATTTTTTCCTCTGATGAAACCAAAAATCTCTGGATCCAACAAATCTGGAAAAACTGAAAATTGAAAATGACTATTCTTTCTACCTTTTGATATTTAAATAATTTATCCTCTTTTGTGTTGCCTGAGATTTTGAAAATACATTGCTTGTTTTCTGTCAACAATTGGAAAGTCTTTTTTTACTTCATTCTCTTGTCTTTCTAGCAATCCAGGTACAAATTTATATAATGTATATTAAAAGACTTCACATAATATATTGTGATCTTTTTCCCTTCCCCTAATTCCTTCTATATCATCTTCAGTATCCTACATACCCAATTTTATGTTCTTTCTCTCTATTATTCAATCTTTAAAAAAGCAACAAAAATAGCAAGGAACAAGGAAATTCCACAAAAACACCTAAATAAAATTTACCTATTTATGAATTAAATTTCTTGAGGGTTCTAATTCTGTTATATAGTATTTTTAGAAGTATTTTTTCCTCCCTATCCTCATGTTACTACTTTTTTTTTTTTTAGGTTTCCCTGCCTTTCTTTTCTTCGTTTTTTTTCTTTTTTTATTATTTATTCTTAAATTTAAATTTAGATTAGAAACAAGGTTGCTTCACATGTCAGTTCCAGGTCCCTCTCTGTTTCCCTTCCCTCCTCCGGAGCCCTCCCCTCCACCCCCACCCCCCAATATCCCCTTATGTCCCCATGGAGGGTAAGGCCCTCTTTGGGAGTGTCCATAGTCTGTCATTTCATCCAGGGCAGAGCTTAGACCCTCTCCCAAGAGGTCAGGGAGACAAGTCATTTGACTTGAAATTTCTTTCTCCCTTTCCCTGGGTTTGACATTAACATGAACACAATCCAACTTTGTTGTGTTTAGGGATTGTTAGTGAGAAATGGCAGGAATCTAGGGTCTTTAACCCCTGTACTGCTCATAGTGGGAAGGAAATGAGCATCTGTATATTTGCCCTGCCCCATCCTGTGTGTGTATGTGTGTGTCTGTTTGTGTGTGTGTATGTGCCGGTGTGTGTGTGTCTGTTTGTGTGTGTGCATGTGCCTGTGTGTGTGTGTGTCTGTTTGTGTGTGCATGTTTTGGTATTTTTTCTGAAATTTTTAGACTTTAAAATGCAAAATTTTTCTGGTCGTGGTGGTACATGCCTTTAATCCCAGCACCCAGGAGGCAGAGACAGGCAGATCTCTGGGAATTCGAGGCAAGCCTAGTCTACAAAGTGAGTTCCAGGATAAGCTCCAAAGTGACATACAAACCCTGTCTCAAAACACAAAACAAAACAAAAAGCAAGATCTCAGGTTCTCTTACATTCTCAAGGGTACTGCTCTGTTACCCTTCTAAAGGTCCCTGCCTCTTCTATTTGTCCCACACACACAGGACAGCTGAGCTAATAAGTCATGGGAAAGGAACATTAAATGATAATATATATGATTTAGATTAAATTTAAGGATATGTATTCCTATAGAAACTAAAATTTTATTCTCTGCTACAGATTCCACTGCCATAGAACCCACTCTCATGCACTGGGGACTATTAAAAAAGGACAATTAGCCATTTAGACAAAGAAATCACATTTTAGATTTGTAAGAAAACTTTGTTGGGCAGCATTGGTACACGCCTTTAATCCCAGCACTCTGGAGGCAGAGGCAAGAAAATCTCTGTGAATTCGAGACCATCCAGGTCTAAAAGAGCTAGTTCCAAGACAGCCTACAAACCCACAGAGAAACCCTGTCTAGGAAAAAAAGAAAAATAAAGAAATGAAAAAAAAACTTTTAAAGCATAAGGTTTTCAATCCCAGCTCTAAACTTGGGGTGTCATGAAATATATATCACTGAGGGATCTACTGAATATAAAGAACTTGTAAGTGTACAATGACAGATATAGAGTACACATCTAATGTATGCTACATTTATGTAGGTAATGGTTAGAATGAGCATAGTATAACAGGATTTTAAAAAACTTATTACTGGTGTTTTGTCAGCATGCATGTTTGTGTACCACATGTATGTATTGTCTGCAATTGTTAGCTACTTTGTGCAGGCTGGGAATTAAACCCAGGGCCTACTCCGGGAGAGCAGTCAATTCTCTTAACCACTGAATCCCTCTCCAGTCCCAGCAAGAGTTTTTGATACCTTCTTCCTTGTTATTTTATCTCCTTTCTTGAGATGGTGTAGCCTTGGCTGGGCAAGAGCTCACTGTATATGTAGACCAGGTTAGCAGCTGGCCTGCCCTGGCCTCTAGTGCTAGGATGTAGGGTTTGGCAGGTCACACCCAGCTTCTTTTACTTTTGTCTCAGCCATCATCTTTGGGGACTGATTTAGGAGTACATGAAACCTATGTCTTTCCATTGAACTGTGTGTTCCCTTTTGCAGGTTCTCAATGCTGCCTTTGGGTTAGTGAGAAAGAGACTGCAGTTTTCAGGGTGGGAGCTCTGTGCAGGGGAGGAAGTGAGGGAGGATCAGCTGAGAGTGTCCTGGGGAGGGAGGCAGGGGCAGGGCCAGCTGCCTGTACTACCTCCTGCTTTTCACAGGGCCTGCTTTCTTTCTTTGGTAGTAGTGGTGGGTGTGTGTGTCTATTTTTTTTTATCAAATATAGCTTTTTTTCTTCATACATTTTGATTATGTCTTACCTTCCCCAGCTCCTCCTATATCCTGTCCACCTTCCCTCCCATCCAAATCCACTCTTTTTCTTTCTCTAGTTAGAAGACAAACAGGCATCTAGAAAGTAGTGATAAAATAACATAAAACAAACAAATAAGAACAGGATAAAACAAACGGAAGAGCCAAAGAAACAGAACAAGAAACACACATGGCTTCAGAGACACACATTTATTTGCACACAGGAACCCACAAAAACCCAAAACCAGAAACCATAATATACCTGAAAATGATCTGTAAGGTTAAAACAAAATAAGCCCTGACCTGACAAAGAAACTCCAAAAATACCACTGAGCTGGTTCTGTGTTAGCCTGAAGAGTGACTTGATTGACTACTGAGACTCTGGGAGAAAAGCTCTCATTTGTGAGCAGTTATCAGTTGGAGGTAGCTCCTGGGTTTGGGATAGGAGTTTGTGTCCACTTCCCCTTTAAGCACTGGGCCCCCATCTGGCCCAGATCCATGCAGAACCTGGTGTCTTAAGTGTTCAGGTCCTCTTTGTGAAACTGTAATTCTGGGCTCCCCCTTAGTCCTCGTCAGGCAGGCAAAAGGTAGAGAATTCATAGAGTGGCTAGCCCTTTTCCCCTGCCACACTTTGCTCCATTATTATTATTAATTTTGAGAGACAGGAGCTCCTACAGTAGACCAGGCCGACTTCGAACTCACAACTCACAGAGACTCGGTTGCCTATGTCTTCCATGGGAGGAAAGATGAGCTTCTCCTTTATTTTCCTACCGTGGCTTGATGCTAAGACAGGGTATCTCTGTGGTTTTGGAGGCTGTCCTAGAACTAGTTCTTTGTGCCAGGCTGGCCTTAAACTCACAGAGATCCCCCTGCCTCTGCCTCCAGAGTGCTGGGATTATAGGGGTGTGCCGGGATTAAAGGTGTGTGCAACCAATGCGGAGGTTCGCCTATTCCTATACTTTTAAAAAGTTCATCATTTATCCTTTCAAACAAGATCTAATCTAAGTATTGTTTTGCTTTTATGAGAATGTTTGCTTGTATTACAAACAAACAAGAAAAACAAAAACCAAAAAACCCTTTCTGGAGAGTCCAAAAGAAGCTACTGTCAGATACCACGAAGGAAACTTAACTATCGATTTTAAAGTTAACACAATTAGCCACCAGCTTCAGCTCATTTGTCTGTAAAGCTCACACCCCTACCTTTCAGGTTGTTTTTTAAGGTTAAAGGTCGTCATTGCATGCTTAACTCGTTTTAGGTATATAAAAGTCAAGCACCAGTTAAAAGGGTTAAAAAAATGAAAAAAAGCTTTGGAACTTAACTATGTATGGTTATTTTCAATTCGAAAAAAGGTTTAAAAATTACACGAAGTTGTTTAAGAGGCGATCTCGTTTTTCTGGATCCCAATTTTAACCACGTCTAAAGTTGGAAGTTGTCTAGGATGGGCAGCTCAGGTCTGACAGCCCAAGTCCCCTTCCTGGATCCCACTAGCCCACTCTCCATAGAGTGCTGCTCCTTCTCAACTACACCCTTGCCTTGCTCTAAAGAAGGGGTCGGCCCACCAGCGTTCCACCTGATCTCGGTGCAGAAGGGCAAGGATGGAGGATTGAAGACCCCCGAGGAGCAAACCTAAGCCAGAGGTCTCAATCAGTGGCAACAACAAGCCAGGAGACCAAGCAGGGCAGAGAGTCTTAGGGTGTGGCCGAGCGCGGATAGGAGGATCTGGGGGCGGGACATGCGCGAGTAGGGGAGGAGCTAGACCGGCAGCAAGAGGCACTGACGCTAGGTTCCGCCTCCGAGAGGCGTGGCAATTATTCGTGACGTCAAAAGGGCGCAGCACGGTTAAATAAAGCCTGCACCAGTGCGTTTTCCGCAGTTGCTGCTGAGAGTCTAGCTCCTGGCTTGGTTTGCTGTGGTGCTGGTTTGCTCTCACCATCCAGAAGACTGGGAGTAACGGGTTGCGCGCCTGTGTTGTGTGCGGGACAGCGAGACTCGACTCGGGCAGGGCCGTCCCCTGCTGCCTCTCTCCTTAGCTGGGGCGGCAGTCCGCAGGCTGCTTTGCTCGCCGCTCACTCGGACAGAGTGCGTCGTCTTTTTGATTTTGGAACTTGTGAGCGTCTTCTTTTTTTCCACCTGCAAAAAACTTTTTTCTTTTGGCTTGGTGCCTCCAGGGCTGGTGTCCCCGGTCCAGAATAACCGCTTCCAGACCCCGGTGTCCAACCCCGCCCCAGGTTGCCCCCGGCTCTGCCCCAGGCCCCGGAGGGTGGGAAGCTTTGCCCAGCAGGTCTCAGCAGCATAGTCGCAATTGAGTCAGTATGCTTGGGGTCAACGATCCTCCTCTTTTTATAAAAGACATTAAGGCCGGACTGAAGAACTTAAATGTCGTTTTTATTGTCCTGGAGATAGGTAAGTGGGGTCTGCAGCCCTCCACACACTCTGGAGAGCTTGGACCTCTTTCCCTGCCTGCGCCCCCAAGTGCTCCCACCCACCCTGCCCGGACTGGGCTCCTACTCCAGGACAGAAGACAGTCTTGTAGTGTGCCCTCGGTGGGAGAGGTAGTTGCCCTGAACGGACTTTTTATCTAACATTCCTTTCCCATCATTGATGTAATCTCAACAGGACGCATGGTGACCAGAACCAAAGATGGCCATGAAGTGAGATCCTGCAAAGTAGCTGACAGAACGGGAAGCATCACTATTTCTGTGTGGGATGAAATGGGAAGACTCATACAGACAGGGGATATTATTCGTTTGACCAGAGGGTAGGTGTGCGTACATTGGGGTAGTTGTGGGGTTGGCCAACTTTTGGGGTCCTGCCAAGTTCTGAGGTCCCTGCCCTGGTTCTCCTGTGGGCTATTTCAAGAAGCTGTGAACTGTTTTGTTGGGCCGAATTGACAACAGCTCACGTTTTGAGGCAAGGCAGTGTTTCAGGGAGGGAGTGTACTCTGCCCCTCAAATTTAAGGTTAATTTTTGAAACTACTGTATGGGAGTAGTGAGCCTTTTTAGTAGACTGGTAATCACACTGCATTATAATGGTATTTGATATGATGTCTTCCACTTCCTTCCCTTTTGAGTGTCTTGAGATCCTGTCATCACTTAATTTGTACCTTTCATTTAGGTGGTATGGACATAAACCTAGAGGCTGGGGAATTTATCCTTTTTTCCTTTACCTTCGTTTTGGAAACAGTGTCTCTTGTGTTCCAGGTTGTTGTTGATGCCCAGGAGAATGAGTTTGAAGCGCTGACCTTCCTGCCTCCACTTCAGGTGGTGGGATGTACCCAAGTGTCCTGGGAATGAGCCAGAGGCCTCCTGCGTGCCAGGCAAGCATTCTGCCTTCTGAGTTCCAGCCCCAGCCGGCATTGGACATTTTCTGTGGTCATATTTGTACTCAGTATAGATAAGACAGCGTCTTGCATACTCATTCTTTCTTGAAAATGATTTCTTCTGTAAGATCAGTGTTTCACACCCCCTCCAACCCAAATACACAGAAAGTGGCAGGACATCTGATACACTCAGAACTTTTAATTGGCAGACTGTTGGCTATAGAGACAGAGCACTGTTTTACATCAGCTGTTGAAATTTACCTCAAATGTAGTCTTAAGGCCAGGAAAGAATCTTAGAAGTGTGGAAGCTTATGTGATTAGGACAACTGTAATTTTATTGGGAGCTACCAGAAAAATGGTTATTGATGCTGGCTAAGAGAGCCTCAGAGAAATAACTAGTGCTGACTCCTCTGGGCAGGAGTTCTTTGAAACTATCTCACAGGCCTGATGAAATTTCAGACCTCAGCCTGATTCTGCTAAGCTGATTAGTTTATATTTTCCTTAGACTTACTGATGTCTTCCACATTTAAAATAAACAATTGGTTCCATTATGTTGAAACTAAAAGTTGCAAAGTTTGGAAGGGCCAGCAAGATGAAGATTAGTGTTCCCCCCTCCCCACTGCATCCTCCCATCCTTGATAAAGTTTTACCAGATTTTGTCGAGCTTGGGAACTGTCTGTAGATGTAGGAGTAAAATGTCTGCCTTCCATGACCATGTCATTGAGTGTGAAAGAAAACACTCATGTTGAATCCCTATACTTTGTGGCTGGAAGGCAACACAAATACTGAGTTTGTTATCAGAGGCTCCTCAGAATGTACTTTACCTGCTCTGTTGACTAGGGTGGGTCTTGTTGCCTACCCCTCCCTTCCTCCTCTGCTCCTTAACTAAGGTACACACGGGTCAGTGTTAAGTGTGCTTTCCTGTAAATGTGAAATGTAGAGGATTTTACAGATATCTCTTCTGTTGGAATTAGGTGTTTGTTTTAAAATGATTTAAATTGTAGTCCAACAGTTCATTGAGAAAATAACATTTTCTCTGAAAAATAATTGGAGAATGTTAGCCAGTGAGCAGTTCTTCACTGACAGAAAATCAGCCCTGTGCCCCCCTTCCCCCCTTAACTACAGGTACATTTAGGAGCAGCAGTACATGCTTTACCAAAATGCCACTTCTCACCCTCTCATCCTCCAGTTCTCCTTGAGGCTGGCCTCAAAGTTGAGTTCTTCCTGTTTCAGCCTTCCCAGTGCTGACATTCAAAATGTGTCACCATGCTTGCCTGGTCAGGTGTTTTTCAAGCTAGGCATAGGGGCCCATGGCTGACAGATCAGTTCCTCCTGAGGCCAAGACAGGATGATGGCAAGGCTGGGGACTACTTGGCTTCAGAGCAAGTTAAAGACCAGCCTGGGACACAGGGGGAGATACCTAAATACAAGGCTTAAAAACAGGAATATAGTAGCCAAGTGGCTGATTGCTTGCCTCCTTATGTGCAAGGAAGGCCTGGGTCAGTCTGCATTAGTGCTCAAAACTGTTTTCCTAGGGCTATAATTTACATAACTATGTCATAATGTGCCAGTAGCATTGTCATTGTGTAATTTCTTATTAGAGTTGCATGGACTGTATTTTTCATGCCATGGTGGGTAGATGAAGGGTGATTTGCAGTTCTATCTGATAAATAATACACTGAAAATTTATTAGAGCTCTATTTTCTTTAGAAAACCTTATTTATTTTCCCTCCAGGTATGCATCAATGTGGAAAGGATGCCTGACACTTTATACTGGAAGAAGTGGTGAACTTCAAAAAATTGGAGAGTAAGTATTAAAATACATTTGTATGATGAAGTTTCAAATAATGTCTGCAGAATAATTGTATACAGTAAAAACTGCTCACTTGGCTTTTGGAAACTTGGTCTCATGCTGTAGATAGGTAACTGGTTTAAACACTTTCAGTACTCAGAGCTGAGTTTGAAGGGTGGAGCCCCAGAGGAGTCCTTTAGAGTCATGTGTTATGAAGTGTTTGGGACAGGGTTACAGGATCTGGCTAGATGGTTTTATATACAGAGATGCTGCAGCTAGGTGACAACCACACTAAGTCACTCATTTGCTCATGCCTATTCTTTGTCACGGTCAATTTAAAATTTTCCCAAACTGGAAGTAGTTTATAGTTGAAAAGCTAAGAAAATGCTTATGTGTGAGCAGGGTACCAAGTTGTGTGGTCAATTACAGGGAGTGCTGGGATGAGGTGGTGACTTAGTAGCCAGTTATGTATCTTAATCATCTGGAATTTATTCTTTGTAGATTTGAGTGTCTTTGCAGATACACAGTGAATGATCAAAAGGGATTCTATGAGAGCATCAAATAGTTGGGTGTTAATATGGGCTATAGCTATTTGGGAAATTTTTGTCACAATTGAATTAGCATTCTACTGTTAAGATAATTCTTTGACACATAAGGTTTTCATTCTTGTAAGTTAAGGATGTTGTACAAAAAGCTTCAGAAATCATTTAACTTGTCGGTTGCATTGTTTTAGGTTTTGTATGGTGTATTCAGAACTGCCAAATTTCAGTGAGCCAAACCCGGATTATAGAGGACAGCAGAACAACTCGGTAATTAATACAAATACATGGCATATTTTTATGATTGGCTAAGTTAACTCTACTATAACTCTGTCAGTAGGCTAAAGCTCTGATGTCCAAGTGTAAGGAAAATGATGTTGAGGACTGGGGACATAGCTAAACTGATGGACTGCTTGCTTAGCATGCATGAAGTTCCGGGCTCTCCCCCAGCACTGAATCAGACTGGCATTGGTGGTGCATGCCTGAAGTCCTGTTTCTCTGGAGCTTGGAGACAGGAGGATAGAAGTTCAAAGTCATTCTTGGTTACATAGCGAGTTTGAAGCCAACTTGGGGTATATGAGACCCTGTCTCCAAAAAAAAAAAATCTTTAAGTTGCTTTTCTTACATTGATCTGTGTGTCTGTATATCCTTTTTGCCAATAGATAGTATGTGCTATTTAGTATTTTGCAGAGTAAAGATAGCATCAGGAAATACTCATATAATAAAAGCTTTTAAGAGGCTTGGGAAAGATTTCTTAACATTGAATGAACTTAGACAAATCTTTACATATTATTGAAAATCCTTTTTAAAGCCTTAAAATGTAGTTACGTTGTCTTCATTTGTCTAATTTGCTATTCTTTCAGGTACAAAATGAGAAGGATAAAGTGAATGCTGGGACATTTGGACCCTTTGGTAAGACTTTTTCTGTATTTGTGATGACATGTAAACATTAAGGGAATAATGGAAAATGTAAAGGAAAATAATCTCGTCAGGTATAATTTCAGTGTTAAACGGGACCTGCAGTAAACAAGGAGACCTGAGTAAATGACTTTGTAGGACTTAAGTCAATGTACTGAGCACATTCTGTATCAATACTGGGGTCCATTATGCTGAACATTGATTATTAAAACTAATTTTGGTAACCCTCTGACAAGATCTTTTATTTGTCTGTTTTTACAAATGTGTATGATATAGTGGTTATTTATAATACATGCAGAATTACTGGCTGTTTTCACATTGTGGAAAATCTGTCTGCACATAGTTTGATTATATTGGAACATTCATTAATTGTATTTGAGTCAAACGCCAGTACTCAAACCTCTCTGCTTCCCTTCTTTTTTTTTTAGTTTAGGCAATTAATTTTTTAAAATAATATTCTATTCCCATTTTTGTTCCTCAAGTTAGATTATCTTCTTTTTTATTCAGTACTAACGTGATGTGTTTTGTAAAGCCATTGCTGAGCCCCAGAGCCTATGTCTTTTCTCATTATGGAATGATTGTGCTTGTTCTCCATGATACTTATAAGCATTTATAGTGTGTTTAGCAACTTTACATGATTGTGTTTCTGTAGTATAATATAGACCACTTCTGAAAATGGTGATAATTTTTTGTATTCTTCCTAGGAAATGGTGTTCAGACTGGGACTGATTCAAGAGGATATCATCTTCCATATACTGGTAGAAGCAGTGGCCGGGAGCACATCTATTTTCCATTTCCAGGAGCTCGAAGTAGTCAAACAGTCATGACCACAATAAACAATGCCAGGGATCTGAGGAGAGCTTTTAGAAGATGACTGAAGCCAAAGAGACTCATGTAGTTTTTAAACTACGTGCCCTACATGAACACTTAATGCACTTTTATTTATTGTTATCTGTGAAAAGCTTGTCTCTTACAGGTTTCCTGTTACATTTTGGGTTTGTTAAACAGAATGACTGATTTTTACTGCACAGTGTTGAGTTGTTTAGTTCCATCCTGTTGCAGAATAGGAACTCTGAAAGTGGGAACATTTATTTTTTAGAGCAAGACCTTACTGAGTATCACCTGAAAACCTGTCCATGTTTCAAGGGTGAACTACTTATGACACTAATGTTTTCCATAACATTTCATGGGAAATGTTCTTTTGTTTTAACTGGGATGTGGCCGGCGGAAGTGATAGCAGCCCCAAGCAGAAGCCTGGCCGGTGCTGACAGTGCTTTGAGTGCTTATGGACCAGGGACGACTGACTTATAGAGTGACTGGCCTGCCATTGAGAGTGTCCACGGACAGAAGCACAGCCTACATTCTTGTTTAGTTGCCAGACAACCTGACTCTTATCAGAATTGTGCAATACAATGTGTAATATTACAAGTAGTTTTAGAAGAAAATTGTAAGATAATGCTGTTTATATTTGTTACATACAAACATTAAACTTATTCTTAAGAAAAATTTGCAACAGAGTCTTTGTGTTAATTTTTAATCAACCATTTTAAATACTGGTATAATTGGAGGCCATTACAATACCACACTGGATAGAAATCTCATTAGTCCAGTCTCTGTCTCCCAGGTGTTGGGGATAAAGTTGTGCGTTACCACCCGAGGTTGATATGATTACTAAAAAACAAAACAGAAAACATGTGGTAGATGAATATTGTAACAAATGCAATTCAGATTGAATTCTTATAGCCATGTGACAACCTGCGTCAGGTGGTCAGGTAGAAGTAAGAATGCTGGAGTAAGGATAGGTACTGCTTTTCTTATGGAAGTGTATGTGGTTTAGTTCTTTAGTTTCAGTTTATTTTAATTTTAATTTTTTTGGTTTTTCAAGATGGGATTTCTCTGAAGCTTGCTCTGTAGACCAAGCTAGCCTCTGACTTACAGAGATCCACCTGTCTGTTTCCTGAGCGCTCTCTCTTAGCAATATTTGGGTGGGTAATTGGTAGATGTTTTCATGTTAGTTTCTTTTCTTAAATATTACCCCGTGAGTAAATGTCTTGCTCTACTGACAGCACAGCCGCCTGCTCTGCTCTTTCCCCAAGCATGGAGAGTCCAGTTCAGTTTCCTGAAGCTGGGTCGGCTTCAGCCTGCCTGCTTCCTATCTCTGTGTCTGCTGATTCTCCTGGCCTCACATTGTACAATAAGTAAGTTTCTGTTCAAATCCTGTAGCATTTGCATATAACCTGTGCCAGATATTATTGTTCTATTTCTGTTTAATAAATTCAGTTTGCACTGTATTAGGCTCAATGTGGAGATTATTGTAATATTTGAGATATTACAGGAAATTTTCTTAGGGTTTATAGTTGCTGGGCTTTGATAGTATAGATAATTGGTCATTTGTTCATATATTAATATTAACTATTTTGGTTTTGTGATTATTTATGATTTTTTGTTTCCATTACTGAATGCTTCAAAAAAGTTACCTAAGAGTTTTGTGATTACAGATGTTTTAAATAAAAATAAAGTACAAACTAATGTTGAAATTTTAAGAAATAGGAGCAGTACTTTTATTTGTGGGAGGATGTGGTGTAACAGGTTATTCTAAAGATTTATACTTGGACAGAGTTAAGTGTGGTAAGGTGGATCTCTGGGTCTTCAGTTCTGACTTGACTTTCTTGTCACCTGTGAAGCTAGGCAAGCCATGATTAGGACAAGGAGCAGCAGAACTCCTTAGAGGAAGGAATGACAGTAACTTCTGGTGAATGATCAGTCACATCTTATGATGCGGTCAGAATGTTCATAAAGGAATTGCTAAGCTCAGAGTGGAAATGTCAGTGTACTTTAAGATAGTGAGATTGGGTAGAGCATGGCCTAAGATGTTATCACTGACATTTATCTCAGGAATTTAGCCTGTTCTGTGGTTTCTTTTTTCTTAAGGAAACTTCCAAAACCAAAGCAAAGTGACATCCAAACCTAATGACTAATTGCCTTCCCAGTCTACTTTGATACCACTCCTCAAGAACTTATGGAAGAAAGTGTCAACCTTCCTCCTGTCTGGTGTCTTCAGCTGTCAATGTTGTCATAGCCTTCAACAAGACCCAGTGAACCAAAAACCATATAGTGTAGAAATGCATTTCCAGGGTTGGGTCCCCATTATTGTTTCTAGGGACAGTTCTGGAGTGGAGAAACAATATTTGATCAGGCCAGCTTGTCCCTTTTGTCTGTCCTGATGTATGGGGGAGTTGCCACCGGTTAGAAAGTGAAAGGTGAAATCCAGATAGCCAAAGGCTGGTCTGCCTTCACAGAAGCATTTAAACACCCAGGTTTTCCTGTACTCCACCAACTCCCATTTTGCTTTTTCTCCGTAGTCTTAGTAGCTTGGTGTTAGTTTTAAAGTGTAGACTGAAGGTTGACTAGCTCTTTATATTTTGTAAACAGATTATATACAGAATGGTCTGTCTAGTCCAGTAGTCTGAAGGAACACCAGTTTTCATTTACACGGGTAGCTGACCTGTCAGTGTAGTGGCTGAAATGCCTCCCTTGTTGGTATCATTAGTATGATGGCTGTTTGCTTGACTCTGGAAGCTACAGAATGCTTTCCCAAACAAGTGTATGCCAAGCTCTAACATCACTACACTCCTTTATCTCACTGTTTAAGCCTAATTTTTACTTCCCTTTCTCAACTGCGGACACTCCAATTATTCTAATAGATAAGGATCATATGGCTCAGTGAGTTTGTAGTGCATGGATGGTAGGAGGTTAGGGCAGAGATAGAGCTAGTGTGACCCTGGTGTGCTGAGGCTCTAGATGGTGATCTTAAGGGGGAGTGATTAAACAGCGTCTGCACATGGCGGTTTTAGTGGTTACTACTTGAGGCATGCTTCTTCTGACATCTAATTGTGACCTTTGAAAACAGCACCATAGCTGATGCCTTATACCCCAAGGAAGAAGCTTTCTAGCTATATTTAAGTTCTATAGATACCTGAAAGTTTGCTTTATTGGGAAAATACTAGGATTTGAATTTGAAGGCTATAGCCAAATTATTTCAGGTTTTTGAGTGAACAATGACTTGATATTTCTACAAGTATAGACCTCAGACTCAAAAGCAAATCCATTAAGTTACTAATAAGCACTTTTCCATGCTAACATTAGACCTGAAAATACTTCCAAGAACTTAAAGCTTTGTTAGGTGTTTAGTCTGATATCTAACATTTCCACCAGTTCCCTTTGCATTGAGGGTGAGGTGACATTTCATCACTATCTGTAGTAGCTTAGATATGCAGATGACTGACACACACTGAAGGGATATATTGGTAGGCTTTTAAAAGTTTGTGCTTAGAGATTCCAGCTAAAATTAAAAGATCCTTGTATTTAAAATTCCCAACTGGGTTCAAGCTAGGTTAGCTCTCTTGTCCACACACTGCCTATGGAGTAACCTGGAATAGGAGTTTGGTAAAGCTCTCACTTTAAATAACATCCATGAAGCTCTTTGAAAAGAAGTGTGGATTGCCCCTCTGGAAGGAGCCAGGTCAGAAAGACCTGCATCAAACCCTTGGGAGATCTTTGTCCCCTGTCCTTGCCCACTCCTTTCACCGTGAGACAGGTTGATTTTGGAGCTGCGTGTGTTTTCTCAGTTCCTTTTCTGTAAATCTAGAGCAGAAATTGTATTGAATAGAAAAAAATGAATTTAGAAGGATGTTTCCCTAGAGCACAGAATTACTGGCTGAAGCAAGTCTTCCTGATTAGAGATAATTAGGCCTTTTACATAGAAATGCTGGAAATTTTAAATTAGGTTCAAATAGAATCACTAAAAAATACATCAAAGCTGGGATCAGATCTCTTCTGAGAGGAGGGCTTACTGTGGTCCAGGGCTGTCCCAGAACTGTCCACCCTAAAAGCAGGGCCAGGTTGAAATGTGGCTTAGCTCAGGAAGTGGGTTGTGGCATCTCATATGCCTGTCATTCAGCTCAGTCTTCGAAAATGAGTTGAAAAGTAGGCTTGGAGGCATTGACCTTCATTACTTGGGGTGCACAGGGCATACCATCTCCATCTCCAAATCTCAAACCCATCTTCAATACAATTCCCACATGAGTGAAATATCTAAGACTTAAGATTTCTGACCAGTTGGGTTACTTGATCAAAATTTGTCAGCACTAGAGCCATCTACTGGTAATTACTGTGTAGAACTGGTTAGCTTAAGGTGGAGGAGGGTCCATAGGAAAACAACTATATCTGGTTCATGCAGGGAATATATGACATTAAGTGGTCATAGTAAATAAGCAATGGAAAATTCCCTTATTTAAGTAGATCAAATACTAAAGTGCCCCAAAAGGTAGAGGATATACAAGACTTTTTAATGATTTCTTTAAAAATTGTATTTGCCTGCATGTATGTGCACCATATGTATGCCTGGTGCCTGTGGATGATAGAAGGCATCAGATCCTCTGGAACTGGAGTTAGAGATGGTTGTTAGCTGCCTTTGGGTGCTGGGATCTGAATCCAGGTTTTTTGCAAGAACATCAAGGGCCTTAACTGAGCCTTCTCTCCAGCCTGTACTGGCAAGTCTTAGACTCATATTTATCAGGGTTAGTGAAAAGTGTCACTAAAGATGGGTTTTGGTGAGAATGAAGTACAGCATGAAGTTTCTCTTAGGAACTATTGCCCAGTGGTATTTTATGCCAGAGGACTGGTGCTATTCCATACCATTTGGAAAGAATTCAGAACAATTCAACTGGATATTAAACTTATATGAATTCAAAGATGTTTTTAGACGAGGTTCCCATGCAGCCCAGGCTGTCCTAGAACCCTTTATCTTCTTGTCTGTACCTCCGAAGGTTTGAACCACCATACCAAGCCCCAATTAAAAGGTAGTTACAAGTTTGCACATTTTCCTGGTATGAAAAAGCACTCAGCTGGATGGTGGTGGTGCATCCATTTAGTCCCAGCCCTCTGGAGGCAGAGGCAAGCGAATCTCTGAGATCGAGACCAGCTTGGTCTACAAGAGCTAGTTCCAGGACAGCCTCCAAAGCTACAGAGAAACCCTGTCTTGAAAAACCAATAAATAAATAAATAAAGAACAAATAAAAAACAAAAACAAAAAAGAACACCAAAAACACTCATGTTGCTGACCTGCTGTGACAGCACAGGGTTTGAGCTTCACAACAAAGATCTAACCAACTGGTCAAATTGACCATGCTTCATTCTGCCCAAGAAAGTCCTGGACCTGCTTAGGAAAGTGTAGTAGAGGAGGGATTTGTGGGTGAATGTTTAGCTGACATGATTGCTGTGTACTTGCACATATAGAGCAATTTGTTTATGATAACCAAGACACTGAATAATGTTTTCAACATTTACAAAATGCTGAATTTTATAGACACCTATATTTCCCACCTGAATTTTGTATTAGCATCTAATTTTCATCTGTCCATTGCAGTCAATCCATCTGAATGCATTTCAAACAGTATATTTTCTTTGGTATTCCAAATGGATATCCATTGGAATTTTCAAGTTATAGTGTAAAATTTATATACAAGGAAATACACCTATTTTGGGTGAACTTCATGGTTTTTTTTAGAAGTGCCTTACCATGCTCTGAAACCCCATCAAAATTCAGAACGTTGTCACCCCCTCTAAAAATCTCTGTTATGCTTCTCAACACCACATGAAACCAATGTTCCCAACTAGCTGTCAATCAGTGTTAAAATTTCAGTTTAAAGGGATTACAGTATTCGATCCCGTACTGGTGGTGCAGGCCCTTGGGGCACACAGTGCTGAGTTGGAGACTAAGCTAGAGGACCTCTTAGGACTGAAAGAGGGATGGTTTGGGGCACACCACTCTTCTCTCAATGGAGCTCTCAGCTAGGACCGTGTTGTAGGACAGAACAAGTCTGGAATGCAGTGTTGAGAGCAGAGCACTGCCCCAACCCCAGTGATTTCAGGACAGGTGCTCAGCTCGATTCAACATGCCCTCTTTGCAGTGTTCATAGTATTCACTGTTAGGATGTATTCAGTTGGCATACCTAGAATACCCATATTTCTTGCTTAGCAAATTTACCGTGTGTGTGTGTGTGTGTGTGTGTGTGTGTGTGTGTGTGTGTGTGTGCGTGCCCGCGCGCTCACAACATTCAACACATTTTCACCTCCAGGAGAATTGTTTCTGCATTAATCACAGTTTCCATTTGCATATGTTCTCTTCACATGGGGATTAAGGATTCTTCCCTTCAATAAACTAATTTATTGAGCACTGATCATTTGCCCAGTCCTATGCTGGCAAGTTCCCCATGTTATGCTCCTTTATAAAAGGACCCTGTGATGGAGGTGTTATCTTCGTTAGAAGGACTGAATAATTGCCCAAGATCATGCAAAGAAGAAGTGACAACATTCCCCACACAAACCCTGTAATTTACCTGCTGAGTGATACCGATGCATTGAGGCTCTGGCTGGCACACTGAATAGGGCTTCCCAGGGGACAGGACTGTCATTAGTTACC